TTTTGGCTCAGATTAAAACCAACATGTGAACAAAATTAGAGAATTTTATATCATCAACGTGCATAAGGATAAAAACATTGAAAACTAATTAACACAAACATAAACAATACTTAACTATTACATCACATGGTTCGAATAGTTTAATTATTACGAATATCATGTTTGTAGAGTTCTGAAAGTTCTTAGCCCTACATTATAAAACGTAAATTTGAATCCTCTCTTCTTCCAGAAGGTAGCAAGGAGATCACTATTTTTAATACAAACCGTTGATTATTTAATGGATGATGGTGGATAGTTGTAATCCATTCCAAAAATGATAATTATCATATCCCTGTGAATTGCATTCGTTCATATTTTGTGCTAAAGAAGATAAATCACAACCTTCCATTAATCAATCAACAACTACAAGAAAAGCAACGGCCTCTCCGCTACTTTTCAGTGAAGAAGTGGAGAGAAGCCAATTCCAAAATAAGTGTTGGAGTTTACTTACCCATATCTATTCCTCTATAATAATAGGAGGATCAAAACTTCACTATTCATGTTACAGTAAAGTATTATTGTAGCTCAGCGAACACTATAGTATTATTACTGCAGCTGAGCGGGGTACTGTAGCATTTAAAAAAATGTTACCGTAGCACTAACAAAAACTAATACAGCTGTAGCGGGAAAAAAATAGAGGTCGTGCTTTGGCACACTAGTTGCTTAGAAAATTACTCATCCAAGTTATCTTTTGTACTATGGATATGTTAAGAAACTCATATATAAGAGAAAAATGTTTCATTAGAAAGTGACACGCTTTATCGAGATCATATTAGCTAAAACCTTTTAGCTTTCCCAACTTTTTGATTACCTGGGTTGCGTTATCATCTTCAGCCTAATGCTCCATCCTCATCACCTCTGTAGCTCCACGAATCTCCTTTGCCATCTCCGACATCACTTCATTTGAGAATCTTTTGTTTTCTTAACATTGAAACTTTTGTTTTTTCATTCTAGGTCTCTGTGTAGACATGGTAAGGGCACGAGTTGAACATTGTTGTGCCACATCTATCTCTCCATCATATCATTACCTTCATCACTTGCAATATCTTCCATTACTTCCTCAATGTCATCTAATCAAGTGTTTGGTGATTGTCCTTTGCAATGGCTTAAAAAGTTCCTACTTAGCCTACTTAGGCTCTCGTTTAGGCTTAGGAGGTGTCTAGGGTGCCCGCGTTGATATTGGGAGTGCCTAGGGGAGCGGAGACCCCATTTACGCAGACTAACCATTTAAGTCTTGGTCATTATTTCCTATGTTGCTGTCTCCACGTCCTCCAACCTCCTGTGAACTCTTTGGACTCCCTCCACCGACTATAAACCTCCTCAACCTCCTTCAACATAAAGTAAAATCTCCTCCAACACCACTTAAACAAAAAATAAATCCTCCTAGGCCTAGTGCCTAGGCGATAAGCTCCAGTTTGGCGCCTAGATGTGCCTAGCGCCTTTGATAATATTGATTGTTAAATAAAAAAGTACAAATAATAGGAAAATGCATAAGCCCTGCCTAGGCTCTAAGTGTCAAGTCCAATGTTTAGCCTGCCTAGCGTTTTCTGTAATCTTGTTCCTTTGTGTACTTTCTTGTTACATGATCATTTCCGCATATCATACAATTTCTTCGTTGAACTGGATGAATTTGTTAATGAATGGTTCATCTTTTGGATTGGCCTACGAAAATTCAATAGAAATGTGTTAAAATGTATTTACGATATTAATAATCTATTACATATGTTAATCACTCATCTCGATAATAGATGGTATTCCTCTTCACTTATTACCATAATTTTGTTGTCTTCATCCCATCAAACACTGCTCATTTCCTTTAGCCTTTGGATTCTTACCCACTTTGTTTTTAGCATCCTCCAGTAATTGTAGGCATTAGTATCAGTAAGAGTGATGCCAGATTCTTCGTTAATGTGTTTTGCTGCATCAATATAAACAGGAGCTTTAAATCCTTTATCAAATTTACAGCCTCCAGATGCTTGCTCCGTCAAAAACAAAATTAATGATTTTAACTATTGAAGTTTTCATTGAATGTTAGCAACCCTTTTGGAACAACTTGCTTCCTCTTTCGACAGCTTGATTCACCAACTTGTTCAGCTGTTTCAACGTCATCTATTTCCAACATATAGAAGATTATGACTTATATGAAACATTACATAAATTAAGCTTCAAATTATGTACAAACCTTATAAATAAAAAAGTACGTATTGTTTCCACTACTACGAGTCCACATTTTATGAGCTATTAACTCTCATATTGCAACCTTTCTTTGGGCTCATCCCCTTGCTCTCTTCGTGATCGTCCAGCTTGGGAAAGGTTTTGAGAAACCCATTCCTCCTCCAATAGAATTAATTCATTTTCGCCATGAGATACCAAAATTATGTAAAGTACAACAACAAACTACAAGGTACACTTGAGTTCGGAAAGGAAAAAAATGGTCTTGATGATAGAATTTTGAAACGACCTTTCATCCTTTCAAGAAACTAAAGGTTTTCTTTACGGAGGTGGGCAGCAATGAATGTCTATGACTGAACAACTTATGCTTCGCGGGTGCATGATCAATAACTCTATGATGGTACCAAACTCCACGATATGGTGCAAAGAACCCCTCCCTTGTTGAACAACCACCATCAACAAGATAGTATTTTTCTAAGATTCTAAAACATGGTTTTGTTATTCGTTTGGTTTGATATTGGGTAGCGAGTAATCAAATTATGAGAATTATGCGTTTTTGAAATTTTAATACGTATTAATTATCATTTATGAAAATATAATAATTTTTGAAAAATATAAAACTATCAGGCAAAAGACCGACAATAATACCCCAAGCTGTTGATATCAAAGTCAGTATAGACTTAAAGGTAAAACTACCAATAGTTCATAAACTAAAAATACTCCAATAAGTCATATCACTTTAAAGACTGATAGAACTCTGCATTTAGTCTTCCTCATCATCTTCGTAGCGATCAGTGGTGGAAACAACAGTAGGAGATAGCGACGGTCGACATCTATGCTCAGTAGTCAGAGGCAATGAGTGGCGGCAATTAGCGGCAGCGATGAGGAGGCTGCATGGGGGTGACTAAGTTTATTGTATTGAATACTATAAATTTTTGGGGACTTTTGAGATAGGCACAACGATCAAAGACTTAGAGGTAATTAAGTGCAAGTTAGATCGGTATATTATGCACCCGCATAAGTTCTTAATGTCAGTGCATACTTTTAAACCACTCGATTATGTAGTTAGACTGCATCAAGCGGGTTTCAACTACCCAACACATTTTCTTATTGGGTAGGCATACTCAGGCGAATCAGCTAGATAAAGCGTATTTTTCAACACTAGTTTCTTATAATTAAATATAAAGGTAACGCTACTTAAAGTGTTATTAAAGTTAAAACTAATATCACATATTTTATATCACCTTGGGTAATTTCAACCTATTTGGTCTTTCAATAGCATATCTGAGAACTAGTGCATCTTGTGTTGAGCCTTCCAATCCATCAAGCACACAAGTAAACTTCACATCAAAATCAATGGCACCAAGAACGTTTTGAGTAGGATATGGCTTTCTACTACGAAAGGATCCTACCATGTTAGATGGTACTTGAGCTTACACATGTGTTCCATCTAAAGCACCTACAAAATCCTATTAACACATCTTAGTTTGAGTAGTACCATTCAATATTGAATAAAATTATAAATTTGTGAAAAAATCTAGGTATACATTAAAATAAAGCCAAAACGTATAACTTGAAGAGACTTTTGGATGTGTTGTACTGTTTGGTCCCTTGATGTATTCATCGTGCAATTCACTAATTGCATGTAGAATTTCCTTAAATATCTACTAACTATTTCACCAAATTTTAGAAAGTGTGATCTATCACCCTTATCATGAACATTGTGTATTATGGTATGCAAGGACATGGCAGCTTATTCCTCTATAGTTACATGAATGTTGTCTCTAAGTAATCCCCTTGAGCTCAATATGTTACATAGATTTATGAAATGAAACTTACTTAGTCTAAGTGTATTAATGCAATTTACATTTGTGTCCTCAATAATTTAGCACAAATAAACAATTCTATTGGCGTCTCTAAATGTTTTGGGAATTGCCCCATCTAATATTTGTCACCAGCTCCCATCTATAACAAATATAGCATGCACATTATATAATTATGTATACTGCAATTTCCTCATCTTCGGGATCAAGTTCCAAAGATAAATTCCTTTCCTTCATCCCAATCTTTGTGAATAAAAAATGTTAAAATCTAAAGAGAGTGAGAAATGAGAAATGCAACAAACAAAGGAAAAAGTAGTAACCAAAAATATTGAACTAATATGAGCGTAATTGCTAGTCGTACTCTGACAACCAGTGAAAACCAATTCTATAATGATAATGTTCATTTATGTTGGAATTTTTAGTGATAGCAAGTTGTAATTTTTAGTGCAACTAGGCTTTAAGCATGTGCAATGCTCATGGTTGAATACTATGATTAAGTATTTTTTATTTATTTTCTTCCTAAAATTTAATTATCGGTTTCACTTTGATGATTTTTGCTCACTTATGTCTCTAAACTTTAGCATTATGATTATTTATTTATTTTATTTGATTTTTATTGAAATGAGCTACGCCCAATTTAAATTTTCATGTTGATAATAAATTAAAACTTTAGATTGTTTGTTTTAAAATTTATTTTTAGCGGTCTACTGATAATTTTCAAATTTGATATGTACTGGTTATAAGTTTTAAAATTTTAGTATTTTTTGTTATTTTTAACTTTTAAAGGAGTTTTTTATAATTTTTATAACATTGAGGTTATCTTTTTGCAAATTTTAAAGTTTTGGGTGATCGATTGTAATTCGTTGAATTCATCTTTGTTATTTGCAAGTTTTGAAAGAATTTCAGGGTGCTTTTTTGTTATTTAAACTTTTGAGGGTGTTTCTACAATTTTTGAAACATTGAGAGTGTTAATTTTATTGAAATTCTTCGGAGGCTGCATTCGGTACATGTATAAGTCCGTGGAAGAGTCAAAGGGTCACCACTACTGAGGATCTCCCCCTAATCTTAGATGGGTCGTCTGAGGGTTCGCCGCGGTTCATTGCTGTGCTTACACACTAGGCTACCCTTCTCCGAAAGCTCCGCGGGACCACCTATCACTAGTCTTCGGTCGGAGGGGTTTATTGCACAAAAACGTCGGGACGCTGGCTCTCGCAGAGGGAAGCCCAACGAATGTCAGATGCAAAGCATCGCACCTCATTAAGATCATATTAGCATACTCTCCCCAAAAAAAAAGAGCAGACCCCATTGAAGACGGGAGTGAGATACAACAAGGCCAGTTCTGTCCACCTTCTCACGGAGCCGTACGTGGACGTTACCGCTCATACAGCTCCCAGCCAGCAAGCAGTTAGCTTTCCTCTGCAAGGAATGGAAGTGTGGATGAATCGACATCAAATATAGGAATTTGGTTTTTCTTATCATATCAGCAATAACACATCTAATTTGCAAATTTCATGTTTGTTGTTTTAAGTTTTAAAATGTTAGGATGTTTTTTGTAATTTTAAACTTTAAGGATATTTTGTGCATTTTTTGAAAATTTTTGGGTTTTTTGTAATACTTTATATATTATAGCATGTTAATTCTTTACCTAAACAACTAATATCATGGAATTGTTTCATGTATTAATCTTTTTTTAATTGTTAATCTGGAGATAGTTCACGTGGGAGAAGGATATGGTATAATTATGATTAGGATAAATTAAGATTTAAATAAAACATTCACAATAGTGAAGGACGATGTTGATCATGAATTTTTTTTTCCGAACTCGTACGTTTAAAGTGAGTATGATATGATATGATATGATTATGGCATGTTAGTTCTTTACCTTCAACAAATTAATATTGTAGAACTGTTTCATGTATTTGATTAATCTTATTTTTTTAAATTGTTGAGCTGTAGATAGTTTACATGGTATTAGGATAGGATATATTTGTGATTAGTATAGATTAACATTTAAATGAATATTCAAAATAGTGAGGAGTAATATCCCGAACTCGTACTTTAAAGGGCGTATGATATATAGTGGGAAATAACAAGGGAGAGCATGGTATGCGTACAAAAAAATCTTACGTAATTTTGACTATCCCCAAATAAAAAACTCGAATAAAAACAACATGCAACAAAGTATTCAAATTAGTGAAATTATCACAATCAAAATAACAACGATGATGAAGTTGGAAATCAAACCTCAATTAAAGAATTGATCTTTGTAATTCTAAGAATTGATGTCAAAGCCCCAGAGGAACCCCCAAATTTATGTGAAATTTCTTCAGGTCCAGCGAAATATCAAATCATCCTTGTGATTCTCTAACCAAGAGGGAGAATATCCTCGAAAAGAAGTCTCCTCAGTCGAAAAGCGCAAGAGGAGTAATGGGTAGGTTGAGAGAAAGAAAAACTCCATGGAGGATGTGATATTGATGCTCTGTCACAAAATGAGTTGAGAAGGATTCGAGAGGATGATCAAGGGGCATTGCTACAGTTTTCATTTTTTTAAATTTTTGTGATCCCAGAAGCTCTGTGAAGGAAATGCCGAAATGGACTAAATGAGAAGAATGGATGAGGGGAAAGAGAAGTGTCAGAGTTTTATTGAGTTGAGTTGAATAAGTTGCAACTCCAGTTGCAACTTGAAGGATAGATCCAATAGTTATTTTGCGTTGCAATTCCTAGTTGCATCTCTTTTTGACTGTAACTCCAATGTTGCAACTAGACCGATTTTGCAATTCTAGTTACAACCACAACTATGCAGTTGCAACAAACCAAACACTTGAAAACTGGGCAGACAATGACCCAGTTGCATGCAATGGAGTTGCAACCACCACAGTTGCAGTCAACACACAGCTCCTAGATATCACAAATAGAATCCTTGTTGAGACTTAAATTGCAAATCTAAATTCTTTTTCAACAAGGAATCACGAGAATCTTTGTTCAACTAGGAACCACAAATGGAAGTGACTTCCTAGAGGTAAAATCGAGGCACAAGTTAACACTGTCTCATACTGGTGTAACTCTATACATAGACCTTCATACTCGATGAACTACAATCCCATCACTCCCCATGACTGGCACACTTATGCTTTCCATTATAAATGTCCAAACTGTCTCAATTGACTCTACTCCACGTTGGTTACAACTGGAACTGTTTCTAACTGCCTGTGGATGCACTCATTTCCTTTCCCACCTTTTTTGCATATTGCCGCCAGCAATCTTAATGTTCTTGTCTGTATATTAGATGTTAGGAGTTATTTAGTTTCCTCTTCGGTTTAGAAGATATACTTGTTCCTCTATTGAAGATAAAGAACAGATTATGGTACTTAGTACAATCTCATTTTCTATTCCTTGAGATGTTATGGAAATATAATTTGATATAAGCCAGCCATGCAACGAACAGGATTTTATTCTATGTTCGTTACGATTAATGGTTGTTCAGACCATCAGAGAAGAAGCAGTTCTTCAAATATGAATTAGGTACTTCTGGACCAACATAAGATGATAAATATCAAATTACAGAAACCTCGACTATAATCTACTAGCTGTCATTGTTAACTATTACTTAAGAGTATTTCTAAGTTTGATATACACTGTTCAGATAAATGGTTTACTTAATTACTTTTATATTGGTTTACTTAATTACTTTGAGTCCAGGCGTAAGACTTAGGAGTAAGAAAATGGTGAGATCTCCTTAGCAGTTAAGATTATAAATGTTCATATCTATTTGTATAAGTAATATGACGGAGCTCACATTTCTGACCTTTTTTCTTGAGTATATGGTGGATCCTTTCTCTTCGACTCCCAATACAGGGAAGAAGGTTCCAGTCACATGTTGATCACATGCTTTTCCAATACTCAGTTCTCATTTTCCTCCATGGGGATATGTTGATATGGATATCCTGCTGTAGCAGGTCCCTGAATGACTGTTGAATCTTTAGAGGATCTGATGAGCCTTATGATAGTCCTTCTGTGATATTCATGTTAAGGAAAGCAATGACTCGTTTTTCTTGAGTAAGTTGACATATATTAGTTTTGCAGTTTTAATGATTAAAGGGCTATGGAAATTTAATGGGTACGCTGTTTTAGATATCAAAAGGTGCTGATGGAGGATTATTACACTAGATAGGGATCTGTCTGGAAAGAATTCAGTTGCAGAAGGAAAACTGAGGTCAGTGGTAGCACATACATAAACTGACTAATGAACACCAGATATTTCTCTGATCCGTGATTGTAAGTTTGTAGTGAAATATAACTCTCTAAATTTATTAACTTGAGATCTGCTTCTCTATCAAAAGATTACTAGGTCAAGACGAGAATTTACCTTATGAGGGAACAACAGTTGTCAGTAATATTACTTAATTTGGTACACTTTAAAATTTACGTAGTTGGAAATTTGTCTAGAAATTCCTTTTGATTAACAATCTAATCATGTACGCCTTTTATCTTTTCTATGGAGTTTCACCTGGCTCTCTGCATAAAAAAATTGACTTCTAGACAGTTCCTTCTAAAGTTCAGCAAAAATATGTGGAAGAGGTAAATTCTGACGTGAGAATGAGCCCTGTTTGTAGAGAGGAATATCTTGTCAAGTATAGATGGAATGGTGTATATATGCTTCTGATGGTGCCATTTAGATGATTGTTTAAACATGGTTTTAGAGCCATTATGTATCAGCTAAAATATTCTCTCTTGGTTGTTCTATTTTGTACAAATATTTCATAGCATATCTTTTATTACCTATATATTTGAAGTTTAAAATGGATAAACCTTTAGGCTTTTAGCTTTACGACAAAAGGAGAATGAATTATGCCCTGTGATTAATTAATCCTTGTCCAGAACAGTCTTGCTGATTTGGTTCAAGAATTTCTTTTGAAATATTATTTCATAGTTGTAGGAAACAGTTGGTCATGTTTATTAACATGATTTTGGCAGTTGCCCATGTTGATGCTACTATTGACATGAGGTACTGATGGAAAATTAACGATAAAGATAGAAATAAATTATAGAGAAACACTTCTATACAATGACCTAGTAGACTATGGTACTTGGTAGGAATTTAGGTTGCTAGTTGAATCCAAGAAACAAACCTTTCCTGTATCTTCTAATTATAGCATGAACTCATTGAAACAAAGGATGGAGGCTGCATGTTAGGTTAGTTCACTAAACTGACGTATTCTGGCATAATGATAAAGGAGTCTCGCTTCGAAAAAGGATTTGAAAAACATACGAAATCGTGAGGGAACTATGGTAAGGTAATTAAGTCGGTAACACCTTGCATATGTGTTTCCTAATTTATAGAACTCGGATTGGTTAGTCATTTGTCTGTCACTATTATAGTCTTCTTGCTTTAATGAAGTGTATACACAACACAGTCTTCTAGCTTTATGTGAAGTGTGTATGCAACTGCCGTAAGAAGGTATATAGTTCTGGATCTCACATATTATTTCCATTAACCAGTATGTTCTGGTTAGGTAGCATTCACATACAACACTATTTCGAACCTATAGACATGTTTTAGGGTTTAATAGTGTTTATTTATTAATGTATTTTTAAAAATTCTGTTTTGTGAAGTAGAATGCTAAAAGTGAAATTTCACTTTATTATCAAACTTTATATTAGTTGCATTTTTTTATTTATGTTTCTGTCAATTGGATACTCATGTAATATTCTTTATTGTTAATATTCGTTAAAGTAGCTCATATCAATTGTCTTTGATGTGAGAAAAAGTAATGATGCGAATATTTATAATTGTTTGAATGTCAAAGCTTTCCTGTTTAAAGGATTTTCAGCTTGAGAAAAAAGTCTGTTATGTGCTTACTAATTTTTTTCTGCATGTTTCTAAAGCCTCTCTTTTCACATAATTTTTCTTTAGAACCAAACACTTCTCTTGTTTCCTTCTTGGCAGTTGAAAGAGGTGATGCAGATTACTGTTCCAATGGCATCGCTGGAGCTGTGAAAGATGTTCCAGGCGACAAACTCCTTCAAGTTGTATTAGTTTCTCCCCAGGTATATTCTATTGCATCATACTGCTACTCAGTCCTATTTCAGTCATATGTTACTGTTGAGGGCGTGCATTTCTTATAAAAAATCATTTCAATGTATGTAGTTTGTCATAGCTTCATTATTAATGAATGGACTAGAGCTTTGGGTTATTCCATTGAAAGTAACCTATCCTGGCTTCAGGAGATACTTTATCCTTTTTAATGACAATAAATTAAATAAATTCTCAATATGTTCATGATCATAATGAATCCTTTTCAGCATTGGCTAGAGGTTTCTAGCTTCAATTGCCGAAGTTACAGGTTTGCATATCAGATCTTGTGAACGCGGGTAGGGACCACAAGCGGAGCAGCACCCGCGTGAAGAGAACACGTGAACGAAGGCCCACGAAGGCCCACCCGAGATCATTTTTTTTGTTCGTGCTTAGAAATGCACACCGAAAAAATAGCCTAGGGCTTTGTGCATGGAGTTATTTTTAGGCAGAGTAAATTTTGCGGCTACGGGAGAAAAAATGCAAAAAGAAAGGAAAAAGCTGCTGCGTGCAAGGATTTTTTCGGCTGAGGGAATTTTTTTTCGGCAGAGGTGATTGTGTGCAGTCCTTTTGTGCTTTTGAGAGGGTTTTTTTTGGCATCTCCTTTGTAAGCGATCTAAGAGATTGTTCGAGGGTTTAGGTTGTGAGATTATAAACCCTAGTTGTATCCTCTCCTTCTAATAGTAGATTTCCCCCCTCCTTGCTCCATGGACGTAGGCTATTTGCGGAACCACGTAAAATTAGTTTGTCTCGCTGTTTGTGGATTTGTAATAGCTTATTTAGGTTCTCTCGACAGGTCAGTCCTAGAACTGATAAGAGGAAGAGCTGATATCCCACCTTGTTAAGATATTTTGCTTTTGGTTCTTATTTTCTTTGTAAAACAAGAATTTCTATTGTGACCTGACTCTCTTGTTGTGTTGTCGAAGTGTTGCCGAAATTTTTACTGCGCACAACAAGTGGTATCAGAGCACAGATTTCAGATCTAGGGTTTTTGAATTAGGTGGAGGAAGATTCTTGTGTGAAGATTGGTTCTTAGAGTTTTAGGCTTCGGTGGAGATAGCATTAGGAGTTGTCGTTGCAGATTTCGCTTTCTTCACGTGGACAGGAGATCTATTTGGAATCCGATCTAGGGTTCAGTTGGGTAATTCTTAATTTCTATCAAAGTTTGATTTTTTTCTACAACTTAGAGTTAGTTTGCAATGGGAGAATAAGGTGAAAGCAGTAAGTCGATGGCGAGTACAGTTCAAGTTAGTTTTCAGAACACCAAAATTAGTGTGGTGAAGTATGGCGGTAAAATTAACTTTGGTTTGTGGATGAGCAACGTACAGGATGCACTCAATGCTCAGAACTTGGAGGAGATCATCATGGTTCACGAGAGACTATCAAAATATGAAGAGACGATATGAGAAAAGATAAATAGGAACGTTTGTAGGGTGATCAGGTCCTGTTTGAAACAGGAACTGAAGTATGATGTGATTTGGGTGACGTCTGTAATAAAGATGTGGGAAATTCTCAACAATAAGTACCTTACGTAAAGTGTTGAGAACCGGTTACACTTGCTGCGTAGGTTATTCAGATTTCAAATGTCCAGAGGCACTTCGCTTGTGGCTCATGTGAACAACTATACGAAGTTGTCAGACTTGACGAATGTTGATGAGAAGATATCGGATGAGTACAAGGCTATTATCTTATTGGGTTCCTTACCGGATGAGGAGTATGATATATTTGTGCTCACTTTGTTGAATGGAAGATCTTCTATCAACTATAGTAAAGTTACTAATGCATTGATGAATTATGATTTGAGGAGGAAGGACAATGAGATTTCCCGTGCTAGTACTTCAAGCGAGGCCTTATCGACGAGAGGTAGAAGCCTATATCCGAAAGGTGATAATAGAGGAAGGTCAAAGTTAAGAGGTTGTTACCAGCTTAGAAAAAATCAATGTGCATTCTGCAAGGAGCAGAGACATTGGAAAAGAGATTGTTCAAATATTAAAGAGAAGGAGAATAGCAAGAAAAAGGGTCCGAAGACCAATGAGGTGAACGTTACGAAAGGCGATGATTTTAATGATTCGAGCTTTTCTCTATTGATTACTCCGGAGGTGAACCACTTGGATGCATCAGATTGGATATTTGATTCTGGCGCTACCTATCATGTGATCCCTAGACGAGATTAGTTTGTATCTTTTGAGAAGCTCGATGAGGGTATTATTATCATGGGAAATGATCAATTCTATGTTATTTGTGGGATAGGTACCGTACGGATTCGGATGCACAATGGAGTAGTCTGAATTGAAAGAGGTGAGATTCGTTCCTCAGCTGAAGAAGAATCTTATCTCAGTTGGAGCTTTGGAGGTAAAGAGATTCAAAGTGACATTTAAAGACGCTGTAGCAAATGTTACTAAGGGATCTTTGATAGTGATGAATGGAATCCGCAGTCGAAACTTGTATTATCTGAAGGGGAGCACTGAAATTGGCCAGGTTGCTTCAGCTATTTCAGAGCGGACATGATCAGGCTTTGGTATTATAGGTTAAGACACACAGGAGAGAAGTCACTGCAGGCTTTGTGCAAGCAGGGGTTATTGAAGGGAGTCAAGAGGGGTAAAGTGGAATTCTGTGAGCACTGTGTTCTTGGCAAGAAGACGAAGATGAAGTTCGGGACGGCCATTCATAGGACAATGGGCATCCTGGGCTACGTGCGCACAGACGTTTGGGGTCCCACCAAAACTGCATCACTTGGTGATCGACATTGGTTCGTCACGTTCATTAATGACTTTTCTAGGCGATGTTGGGTGTACACCATGACAAAGAAGAGTAAAATCCTAGATATATTCGTGGAGTGGAAGAAGAGATTTAAACTGCAAACTGGGAGAAAGATCAAGACGTTGCGATCCGACAACGGTGGTGAATATACTTCAGACCCCTTTCAGTAGCTATGTCGAGACGAGGGCGTAGAGAGACACTTCACGGTTAGTCATACACCATAGCAGAATGAAGTGACAGAGGTTAAATCGGTCTTTGCTAGAGAAAATCCGATGTTTATTATCGTAGAGTAGTTTGGAGAAGATTTTTTGGACTGATGCACTTACATATGCAAGCCACCTCATTAATAGGTTGCCTTCATCTGCGATTAAGGGGAATACCCCAATGGAGATGTGGTCGGGAGAGTCAGCACGAGATTATGACCAGCTCAAGGTATTCGAGTGTCCTGCATTTTATCATGTGAGAACAAATAAATTAGAACCTCAAGCTAGGAAGGCCATATTTGTAGGATTCAAACGTGATATCAAGAGAAACAAGCTATGTGATCTAGTTGATAGAAAGATTATGCTGAGTAGGGACGTCACATTCGATGAGGCTTCTATCTTAAAGCGAGCACGACGACGACGACGACAAGGAGGATACGAGTACAATTGTGTAGGATCAGTGACCGACGGCTCAGGTTCAGGATTCTATTGTGGTTCGGAGACAGAGGAGAGACATACGAATACCAGCACGGTGTGCCGACACAGTTGTGTATGCATTTCCGGTGGAGAGTGTCGATGAGATGGTGCCTACTACATTCAGAGAGGCTGAGTAGAGTTCGGAGGCTGATTCGTAATAGGTAGCTATGCAGGAGGAGATGAAGTCTCTTCACAAGAATGATACGTGGGGGCTTGTTGAGCTTCCAAAGAGGCGAAAGGTAATTGGTTGCAAGTGGGTATACACGAAGAAGGAGGGCATTGAAGGCACTCCATTGAGGTTCAAGGCTAGGTTGGTTGCGAAGGGTTATACACAGGAGGAAGGAATAGATTATAATGAGGTTTTCTTTCCGATGGTAAAACATTCTTCGATTCGGATTTTGCTAGCTTTGATAGCACAGTATGGTTTGAAGTTAGATTAGTTAGATGTGAAGACGATATTTCTTCATGGTGATCTTGATGAAGAAATATATATGACTCAGCCATTGGGATTTCGAGCTACATGGAAAAAAATTGGTTTGTAGATTAAAGAAATCGCTATACGGTTTGAAGCAGTCTCCTCGACAGTGGTATAGGCGATTCGATGATTTTATGATTGGTCATTCGTACACTCGGAGCTAATTTGATCCTTGTGTATATTTTCTCAAGTTGAAAAGAGGTGTGTACATCTATTTATTGCTCTATATTAATGACATGTTGGTTGCCTCTATTTTCAGATATGCTATAGATGAGTTGAATGCACAACTTTCAAAGGAGTTTGAGTGAGGCGAAACGTATTTTAGGGATGAAGATCGGCAGAGACAAGAAGAAGGGCCGAATTTGTTTGACACATATGGCTTATTTGAAGAAGGTTCTATAGCGATTTCATGTTAGCATGGATACGAAACCAGTTAGTGTACCTTTGAGAGCCCATTTGAAACTTTCAGCTGACCTTTCATCAAAGATAGCTGAAGATAGAGAGTTGATTCGAAGACTCCATATGCGAGCGCAGTTAGGATCTTGATGTATGCGATGGTATGTACGAGGTCGGACTTATCACATGCGGTGAGCATGGTATCAAGATACATGCACGATCCAGAAGTGAGTCATTGGGACGTCGTGAGATGGATTTTGAGGTACATTTAAGGTACGCTCAATGTTGGTTTAGTTTATGAGCGGGATACTACAAATGGACAGCTATGCATTGGTTATGTTGATTCGGATTATGTCGGGGATTTGGATAAGCACCGGTGTACGACGGAGTATGTGTTTACTTTGATCCGTGTGCCGGTGTGTTGGAGATGCACCTTACAGTCTACGGTGGTTTCGTCTACGACGGAGGTAGAGTATATGGTTATAACAGAGGCTGTGAAGGAGGCTATTTGGTTTCGAAGATTTTTGGAGGAACTTGGTATATCACAGCGGTCCGTCACTATTCATTGTGATAGTATGAGTGCTATCTATTTGGTTAAGAATCAAGTTTTTCATGCGAGGACGAAGCACATTGACGTTCGTTATCACTTCGTTCGAGATATTCT